AGTTTTATTACATTTTTGAGATTTAATCACCTTATATAGTAGAAGAGCAGATCAATGTCATTTTCTTGATCAAAGGTGTGGTCTTTTTCAAAAGAAGCACAATTCTCCAAGAGTCGAGTCTTAGGAAGGGGAACATACAGGAGAATGGAAGGAAGCAATTGCACACTGGGCATGTGGACTCGGCCAAGGCTGGTTAAATGGCATGACAGAGTCTGCAGAAGGCCATGCGCACATGCCAGCCCAGTTAGCCCAGCTTCTCTACCAGGCGGATAATCACATTGCTGGAGAGCTCTATAGACTATTTAAATCAGAAAAGCAGGGCACGGGTGTTTGCACGTCAGTCTAATGTGCAATTTGTTTGGTGTTTGCACGTCAGTCTAATGTGCAATTTGTTTCTAGTCCTGTGCATCCCAAACTTTAAAGTGCGTATGAACCACCTGCGTATCTTAGTAAAATGCAGCAGCTGATTTACCTAGTCTGGGATGGTGCCTGAGGTCCTGCATTTCTAATTTGATCCAGGTTATGATCAAAATTACTGGTACTTCATCGCCTTTTGAGCTGTTGTTAGAAATGGAGAATATGGGGCCACATGTCTGAACTACTGAATAATATTAACATCCTAACACTTCCAGTTGATTTGAGTGAACGTGAAATGTTGTGAAATGGTGCTCAAAAATCTTCACTTTTTTTCCAAATAACAGAATCGATATTAAGTAAACTTAGATGTCAAATTATATGCTATTCCTTTAAGATCTAACTTAAATTCATTCAATTCCCACAAATTTCAGATCATATCCAGAAGACAGACAACGAAACCTATAGCAGCAGTTCTCCAGGCTTGGTCCCCAGGTAGGCACCATGGCATTACCTGGTAAGATGTTAGAAATGAAGGTTGTTGGGACCCACCCAGACCTCGTAGGCATGGGTCTGAATAGTCTGTTTAGAAATTCCTCCAGGTGACTGTGGTGCCACATATTGCAAGTTTGAGAATTACTGGCCTATAAAATTATTGTAATACTGTAACCAATTACAATATCGAAGCTAAAATATTTTTAAAGGAAACGTGAACTGAACTCCATATTGACTATAATACTCTTAAAATTGAATGTGAGAAATTTAAGAAAATAGTATATTGATAGCATTGGAAAATGATGTGGGATCATCAGTGGATCACATACTTTATGGAATTCCCAGATGAGAGAAAAAGAATAGGATGAATCCTTACAAACGTGCACTCATGAATGTGCATATAGGAAAACACACAGGAGTCAACATCAAAATAAAATCCAGAAAAATCTCAGAGTGAACAAATAAAAAGAGTTGTGGCGTATTCTATGACAAACTTTAGAATAATAGGCATCTTTAGTCCTTCCTGCAGGACCAGTTGAAATATTCCTCCCAGACCCCTTAAAATAAAGAGAGGAGTTGGGATAGATGCAGATATCTGGAGTTTATCATCTAAACAGTGAATGGCCTATGAGGACAAAGTAGGGACACACACACACACACACACACACACACACACATGTGCGCATTAGCACACTCATAAACATAAATTTATTATGTTTTTAAGGAACCCACAAGTCATAGTCATAATGTACACTGCTTTTATTCTCAGGCAGACATACTTTTTCTTTCATTTTGATAAATATCATAAATGAGCTCAGAAAAATCTCAGTATCTGTACTTCTTATCTGACTTCATAGCTTCCAAGGCAAGCCCTCCCAAATAAGTCATTATCTATCTGTCTATCTGTCTATCTATCTATCTATCTATCTCATGACCAAAAATTTTAAATTGGATTTTATTAAAATAAAAAAATTTTGCTTTAAAGAAAATAAGATAATCCGCAGAACAGGAGAAAGTATTTGCAATTTCATGTATCTCATAAGAAACTTGTAAGCGGAATATTTAATGAACATTTAAATCTCAATAAAAATACAAATAACCCCGTTAAAAAATGAATAAAAAATCTGACTAGACGTTTCTCCAAGGAAGGGACATCAATAGCTGATAAACACATGAAAATATGTTCCACATCATTAGCCATTAGCAAAATGCAAATTAAAACCACAATGAGATACCACTTCACACAAACTAGAATTGCTAGAATCAGAGTCAGATAATAATCAGCACTGGTGAGAATGTGGAGAAATCAGAACTCTCATACAAGTTGGTGGGAATGTAAAATCATATGCCCACTATGGAAAACAGTCTGGCAGTTTCTTAAATGATTAAGTATTGTTATCAAATAACTCAGAAATTTTATTACTGTGTATAATTCAAACATAAAATATTTATCTACAAAAAAATTTCATACACTAATATTTAGAATGTCATTACTCATAATAGCACAAATATCCATTGGCTGACAAAAGGATAAACAAAATATGGTACAAACATAAATTGAAACATATTTTGCATATTAAAAGGAATGAAATACCTGCTACAATACAGATAACCTTAAAATTAGCATATTAAACTAAAGAAGCCAGTCACAACGTAATGCATGTTATATAATTCCATTTATATAAAATGCACAATACAGAAATCTAGAGACAGGAAGTAGATTAGTGATTCCTGGGGCTGAGAATGGGGTGGAGAGGCACTCGGTGATAGCCATAGGGTTCAGGGTTTCTTTTTGAAATGAAGAGATATTGCAATTTACCGGGCTGATGACTGACCTTGTTTGTGAATATACTAAAAGGGATTCGGTTACACATTTAAAGTGATTTAAATGAGGAAATTGTCTGGCACAAGAATTATGTCTCAATAAAGTTGTTTTTTAAATGTTTATCCAAAATAGTGCTGAGTAAAAAATATATCAGAAGGAAAGAAAATTATGATCAAAATGTAGCACGAAGTTATTGAACATAATGAAGCTCTACAAACACGAGGAGATGTAAAGATCCCAGAGCTCAGGCAAAATAGAGCCACAGAGGACAGAAAGAGCTAATGTACAGGCAGCAGTGCTCAGGGAAAGAAAATCAGCTTAAAAACATAGAAAACGGTGAAGCCAGATTTCTCTGGGTAATAAAATAGGATAAATGGCATAGATGTGCTATCTTTTCAATAAGAATTCTAGAGTGATTTAGCACTTTAAACTATCTGAATGGATAATTTGGCTGACAGGTAAACAATAAATAATTAAAGTGCTAAAAATAAGTTTTTAAAAATTGAGCATTTCTAGAAAATACTTGTCCAGTATTGTTCAAAAGTATCAAGATCATGGGACATATGAAAAGACTGAGCAAGTCTCACAGATTAGAAGAGACTGAAGACGATTAGTTCTTAGAAAAGAAAAGTGAGTTCAAAGAAAAACCAAAAACGAGGCTGGGCGCAGTGGCTCAGGCCTATAATTCCAACACTTTGGAAGGCCAAGATGGGCATATCATGAGTTCAGGAAATGGAGCACATCCTGGCCAACATGGTGAAACTCCATCTCTACTAAAACTACAAAAGTTAGCTGGGTGTAGTGGAGTGCACCTGTAGTCCCAGCTTCTTGGGAGGCTGATGCAGGAGAATGGCTTGAACCTGGGAGGTGGAGGTTGCAGTGAGCAGAGATGGTGCCATTGCATTCCAGCCTGGTGACAGAGAGACACTCTGTCTCAAAAAAGAAAGAAAAAGAAAAACCAGTGAAATCCAAATACAGACTGGAGTTTACTTAATAGATGGAACCTAATGTTAATGCATTAGCTTTGATAAACATCACTTAGTTGTTATGTAATGTAATAACTTTAGCAGAAGGGTGTGAAGTGGTGTTTCTCAATCTCTGCATGCTCTCAATTTTGGGCAGGTCACTCTGTGTTGTGGGAGTGTGTTTTCAGCGCAGTAGGCCATTTAGCAGGGCCTCAGGCTTCCACTCATTAGAAGCAAGCAGTGCACCCAAGCGCCTGCACAACCTCAGCTGCAGACCTTCTCTAAGGCCTCAGATGGGTGGGTGGGGGCGAGAGGGTACAGGTACAGCAAAGTTGTCTGTAATTGAAAACTACTGTTCTACCTCAATCTCTAATATTATCTAACCAAAAGAAAGCAGTCGTCTCTTAGCATGTGAAAAGGAAAAGAAATAGACATGATGAATGTCTGTGAAATAGGTATTCACTTTTGCCTGTGAAGGTATAATTAGACTTGACTACTTACGGCTGCCTGCACTTCACCAGCAGGATTCTTTAACCAAAAACAATCCAAAATGACTCCCATTGGGTTGTACTTCAAAAAAGACATAGAAAACAGTGTCAATATTAAGAAAACACACATTTAAAAAAATCTAGACCCCCCACTGCATTAACTGTCCACTCCAATGATAATACCATCTAAAGAGGCTTTTTAGGTATAAACATTACTGTCATCCTTAAATGTCTGATTAAGAAGAAAGTTATAGCATAGTGAATTTGTTTTCAAAATCTTATACTGGAGGATTCTTGCCTAAGAAATCTGGAAGAATGCAAATGAATGAGCCAGCGAGTGGAAAGTCCTGGGGCTCTCTCCCTGCTGCTCCTCTTGGCTGACAGCGCCTTTCCTTCCCTGATAATCAGCCCCTTTCTGAACTACAAAACCTTCCTGGAGATTTCTCATTACGCATTTTTTTTTTTTTTTTTTTTGAGACAGAGGCTTGCTCTGTTGCCAGGTGCCAGGCTGGAGTGCAGTGGCGCGATCTTGGCTCACTGCAACCTCCGCCTCCCGGGTTCAAGCAATTCTCCTGCCTCAGCCTCCCAAGTAGCTGGGACTACAGGTGAGCGCCACCACGCCCAGCTAATTTTTGTATGTTTTTTAGTAGGGTTTTACCATGTTGGCCAGGATTGTCTTGATCTGTTGACCTACGATCTGCCTACCTCGGCCTCCCAAAGTGCTGGGATTACAGGCGTGAGCCACCGCGCCTGGCCTCATTAAGCACTTTTTTAGTGTACGCACTATTCACTTGCTTGTCGCTCAAATCCCAAAAGAAAACCTGTTGTGGATTATTGGCTTTGGAATTTTGTCAGTGGCTACGTTTTGCTCCTATGATTGGACCCACTGAGGTGCTGCCTTCTGTGACGCCGCTGAGAGGCTCTCCAGAGCAGCTTGTCTTACACAACCTTGAAGAGACCTCCAAATGTGATCGCTGCAATCAACTGCCTGTGGCCTTCAAACGTTTTTGTAGGCAGATCTTTTCACCTGGTAGCTACAGAAGTGGATCATGCTCCTCCATACACACGTATTAAAAACGGAAAAAACTGCATTAATGTCTGAAGGGAAGAAAATCTATATATGAATATATAAAGGCTTAAAATTATAGGAGTCTACGTAAAATCATCGTTGTCCGTTCTCAAACATAAGTTGTGGTGTAAAATCACCATTTCCTTAAAAGGTAAATTTCAAGATGTGACATTAATAGCCATTCTAGAAGAATAAAACATGTATCTTATTTACCAAAACAAAACCAGTTGTTTTTCTTAAAAATATTTTCAGTGAGTTAAGTTCGTTTTTATGGTAATGAAAGAGAATGCCCGTCTGTCAATAATCTATCTGCAGTTTTCTGCAGGTATTATTAAACATTATCTTTCTAAATGTCAAGCATAAAATAGAGCAACATTGCTGGTGAGGGCACAACATGGTATAGAGGCGAAGAACAGTTTGGTGCTTCTTCAAGAAGTTAAACATGGACTAACTATAGACCCAGCAATTCTACTCCCAACTACATACTACATAGACATGGAAATATTGGTCTGCGCAAAATCTTGTCCACCAATGTCTGACAAAAGCCCAAACGTGCAAACAACACAAACGTCCATCAGCTGATGAAAGGCTAAACCAGTGTGGTATATCCATACAATGGAATCGTTTATTGGACATGAAAGGGAAGGATGTACAGGTCCCAGCAAGGCAGAATCTGGAAATCATCATTTTAAGTGATGCCATAGGAGAGCCCAGAGGAGGGAAGTCTGCAGAAGCAGAAAGTAGATTCCTGGTTGGCGTGGCTGAGAGGACAGGTGGATAGGAAGGTGACAGCTACAGGGTAAAGGCTTCTTCCTGAGGTGAAGAAAATTTTTTCTGATTCACTATGGCAATGGACATGCATGTATGGTTGTACCATTAAACCCACTGAATTCTACACTTCAAGTTGGTGAATTATTTGATATATGAAGGACATCACAAGAGGGAGAGCTGGAGGGGGAGAGGGGCGGGGGGAGCAGGGGGAGGAGGAGCAGAGAAGGGGGCACAGAGGGAGGAGTAAAAGGGAGAGGGGGAGTCGGGGGGCCGGGGGAGGGGAGGAGGTGTGGAGGAAGCAGGGGAAGGGGAAGGGGGAGCAGGGGGAGCATGGGGGAGGGGCAGTGAGGAAGGAGAGGGAGCAGGGGGAGGGGGAGCAGGAGGGATGGGGAATGGTGGTGGAGAGGGAGGGGGAGCAGGGGGGAGAGGAGCAGTAGGGAGGGGAGCAGGGGGAGGGACAGCACGTGGGAGGGGGAGCAGGGGGGGAGTGGGGCGGAGGAGGAGAGGAGAGGTGACCCTGGTTGTTCCTAGGCCCCTTTCTCTAGAGACAAGCTTGCTGGTATCAGCTAGAGTGAGGCTTGGGCGTCCCATGTCCTCCTGCAGTCTGGGTGTCCCGGCTCGCGGCCTGCATGCGGCGCCCGTGTGGAGGGTCCCACCCCCGCGTCCCACGTGCCTTCCAGGCGTCCAGAGGCCAACGGTCCCCAACCGCGGGCGCTGCAGCTCCTGTCGAGTCCGCAGACCCCGGGAACATCCGGAAGGCGAACCCCAGTTGCAAGGCCCGCCCTGGCGACTACCATGAGCAGCTCGCCCGGCAGGGCCCAGCCTGCGCCGTCCCCCGGGGGTCGTCCGATCCCACGACCACCGCCGTCCCTGACTCCGGGCCCCGTTCAGAGCGTCCAGTGGGGGCGGCCGGCACCCAGCACCCGCATCCCCGAGGTGCGGCCCCGCCAGGACCTCGCCAAGCCCCAGCGGGGGATCCCCGAGACCTGCAGCAGCCCGACACGGCCCGGGGACACCGCCCCGGGGCGAGACTCCTCCTGCGCTGGGGAGGATTGCACGAAGTGGGGGCTGCGGAGAACCCCGAACCCAGGAAGCACCTGGAGCCCGGTGACCATCAGGATTGCCCTTCCCGAGCACGCGGAGAGCCCCCGGGGGTCCCCAGGACAGCGAGCCCGCTCCGCTGCCCAGGAGCTCGCCGACCCCGGCGCCCCGGAGATCCCGCAGACGGCACTGCGCGCGTGCCACAAGGGGAGCACCACGATACAAGGGCCGCTGGGGTTGCAGGTCCCAGACAGCAAGGGCTGCAGGCGGAACCCGGAGCCCCGGCCCTCCGCCTTCAAGCCCCTGATCAAAAACGGAGTGGTTGCTTCCTTCGTGCCCAGGCCAGGGCCTCTGAAGCCGAGCCTCGGCTCCTGGAGCCTCAGTGTCTTTGACAATGCTCGGCCTCTGATGCTGGTCCAGCCCGCCCAGTCCGCAGTGTGGGCGCTCTGGGAGGCCAGGCCGCCTTCCTGTGGCAGCTGCAGTACGGTCTCCTTCGCCCTCCAGGACACCCAGTCCGCCGGCTCCTAAGAATCTGCCCCCCCCCCACCTCCTAGACTCAGGTTTTCATATCTACTTCCACTTGCTCATCCTTGCTGTACCCCAACATGGGACCCTGACCCCACGTTATCAAGCATCCCGCCCTGGGCCCCGTCTGCATACCCCCACTCTTCCCTTTGCGCTCCCTGCCACCCCAGCAGCTGTTGATTTCAGCTTTGCCCTGTTGGCCCTCTCCTCCCTGCCCTTCTTCCTGCCCTTCCTCTGAAAAGAGGCATTTCAGGAAGGCTTGCTTTTTCTCCGAGCCTTCCGGTTTGTATCGTTAGACTGCCCAGTTTGTATAGTTAAATATTTGATCTTATTAAAAACATATCTCTGCACAAAATCTACATATTTATAATAACAACAAAATAGCTTTTTATGCCAAAACAAAGGGGAAAGTGTTTTCCAGGCAAGGGCAAGGGTGTGGGGGATAATTTCCGTTTAACTGAAGTCCAAATGTAAGCCCAGTAGAACTGGAGACTGGTGAGAGAGAAGATACGAGGTTACAGAAAGAGACTGTGATGAATACTACAAGGCATTGGGGCCAGAGTACAGGGTTTATTCGAAAACCAGCAGTGTTAAGCAGAGGACAGTCTGTGATCTGGTTGATATTTTTAAAAACACGATTCTGGCTACAACAACGGAAACAGAAGGCACCGGAGATCAGTACAGTATTTCAAGAAAGCCATGAGGATAGTTTGCTCTGAGAGGCAAGTGGTGCATCTGAAAGGGTACAGATAAGTTTGGGGTTGACCTAAAAGTTAGTGTGGGACCTGCTAGTGCCCTAAGTGATAGCACTGGGAAAGGGGAAGGATCCAATAATTTGAGCATATGGGCTCAAGAAACTGGATGATGATAGTGTCATTTCTCAGGATGGGCACTACCAATAGGGAAACTATTTGAAGAAATCAGGAGTTTTGTTCAGGGTATGTTTGCTACAACAACTAAAGCAATTGCTGTGCTGCTGGTCCTGTGAACTGAGCTATTGAAAAGATAATCCTGGAACTCATTGGACGGTTTGAGGCTGGAGAACTACGTTTGGGATTCATTATAAGGGATAAATTCCTTATAATACTGAAATGGTCCATAAAGCCACAGGCTACATGAGATCATTTATGAAGAAAATATAGACAGAGAATTGCAAGGGTGAAGGCTACAGTACTCCTATATTTAAACTTGAGAGTGGATCAAGAAGAACCCTCAAAACCAAGAGCCGTGAGGTAGAAGAACATCCAGGAGCAGCAGGGACACTGTTCCAGAGCATGGAATTGATCTACCATGGTGGCTGCCTTTGAGAAGAGATGTTCCTTCCCTCATGTCAGAAGAGAAATTCCTTTAGAGTGTTGCAAGTGGGAAGCCTGAACTGCATGGGAGATGGAAGGAAGGGAGGGTGTGTTAGTCCACCTGCAGTGCCATGAAGGATTACCCGAGACTGGGTAATTTAGAAAGAAAAGAGTTTAATTTTTGTTCTGCAAGCTATGCAGGAAGTGTGGTGCTGGCACTGGCTTCTGGAGAAGACTTTGGAAGCTTCCAGTCATGGGGAAAGGCCAAGGGTAAACAGGCACCTCACATGGAGATAGGCATCAATCAAGGAGAGAGCAGGGAGGTCCCAGAGTTTTTATAAATGACCAGCTTACATGTATCACCAAGGGGATGGCTCCAAGCCATTCATGAGGAATCCAGCTTGGGATACAACACCTCCTACCAAGCCCAACTTCAACATGGGTGGTTACATTTCAACATGAGATTTGGAGGGGACACACATCCAAACCATATCAGTGGGCTTGGAGAAGGGACTGTAGAAGCCACGAGGAATACTAGGTTGTGAACTGACGTACGAGGAATACTGACATACGCAGTAAGACTGCTGGAGGAATTTTACTTTGTCTTTATATTTTCTTTTAAGAAAGAATAGGGAGCAAATGTGAATAAGAACAGTATCTACACTATTGTCCAAGCCATAGAGGTCTTGGAGTACAAGAAAAAGTGGCTTTGCTGCAGGGCAGGGCACAGGTAAGATGAAGAAGGGCAGGCAGGTGATGAGAACAGCTGTAGGAGTTAAGGTTTGTGGGGATTTTTATGTGACTCCTCATGAGTTTCAGCGGGGACTGTGTGAGGTTTGAGAAGACAGGATGTGAGGTTGGGTCAGAAATGGAATAGAGACATTGCTTACCTGGTAATTCATGGCACTATCTCAGAGTAATGTGGTTGATCCATGACATTATGCAAAAGAATATTTATCTGGAATGTAGGGACACATTTTAGTAAGAGGGCAAGGACTCCTTACTGTGCACCAGCATTGCAGTAGCTAAGGAACAGTGATTCCCCGGTGAACAGAAGCAAACGAAGCCTCCTTCCTTGTAGCAAAAGGGCCTGGCAATGTGTGATGTGAACACACAGATCCCTAGGAGAGAACAGAGATTCTGAAACAGATATCTAAGAACTTAATATACGAAAATGGTGACGTTCAAAATCTCTGTGAAAATAATTAACTGCTGAAGAAATTGGATTGCAACTATTGAACACCCAATTAGGAATAAGAATATAGGAATGTAATTAGCACACTCAAATAGCTTGCTCCCCAGGATCCCTTTAGTGTTCCAATACCTTTAAACCTCTATCAATTTGATAGCGCTTTTACAACAAATTCATTTAAATATGTTAGCAAACCAGTCCACAAAAACCTTTTTGGTTATGTAGGTAATTATTTCATAGGAGAACCAAATGTAAGTGCAGAAAGAGATTTGCTTTCTTGTAAGCTTAATAATTTGAGAGGACTTAAGTAGAGTTAAACAAAACAATTCCTTTGAATTAGGTGTGGGCCAGTTATAATACACTGGGAAATATCCACAAGTAATGAAAACTTGAAATACAAGTGGCTGGAGAGGAGGCTACTTTTATAATCCACATAGCAGACCAGGGGTTACTATTTCACAGTGGTAAGCCATCACTAAATATATCAATGACAAGAAAATAGAGAATACATAGAATTACTAAAATCATAACTCTACAGTTCATATAACAAATAATTCAAATTATTAATAAACGTAAAATACTCAAAAATGTTCTATATATTCACAGAAATATATATGGAATTTCCACTCATCATTGCAAAAATCAAGGTCTGCTAATCTCCTTTGTAGGAGACCAGATAATATAATCTAAATTTGGTAAATTGATCAGAATGAAAGTCTGCAAATTATCTCTGCATGTAAATTCTTAATTACTCTTCTATTTTGGCAGTGTCATTTAATTTTAACAAAGTATTCAATATGCAGTAAAGACATGAGCCATGAACTGGGGCAAATAGCATAGCTTTGAAATACATTAAGAAAACAAGAAAGAAAAGAAAGACATTTTTATGACTTAGACATTGGCACAAAAATATCTAACATGGTACAGAAATGGTTAGAGCTGATAAAAAATTTGTGATTTAAAAAGCTTGATTAAATTTTTTACACGGGAGCTACAAGACTCCTTTTGTCTCTACTATTAATTTCTAAGTCACATGGCTTATTTTCCTTTGAAATGACATACCGGTTTTGTCTTTTTTGTTTTGTTTTGTTTATAGAGATAGGTTCTCACTCTGATCGTTGCCCAGCCTGGAGTAAAGTGGTAAGATCATGGCTCACTGCAGCCTTGAGCTCCCGAGCTCAAGCAATCCTCTTGCCTCAGGACTGAGCCACTTTGCCTTGCTAATTTTTTATTTTTATTTTTTGTAGAAATGGAGTCCTGGTATATTGCCTTGACCTCCTGAAGTAATGAGATTACAGGCAAAGCCACTAGCCTAGTGCTAATCTTTGATAGTACAGATGAAGGAAGGGGACAAAGAAACGGGAACCAAAGGAAATATGGCGCATCTTCCCAAAACCTACTCTGAAGCCAACATCTGTTTATTTCACTTTTTTCTCCTAAATGCCACTCTTAGTTGGCTGTGATTTCAGAGGGTAGGGGACCTCCTTCAAATAAGAAGAGCTCCACTTTTATCTTACTTTATCTAATAGTTAATAAAATATTACGTATAACTGCATGAATAATACATGTAACATAAAATTATATTAAAACAATTACGAAAAACTTAATAAAGTACTACAGAAAAAATGGAGCTTGAAATGTGTGTGATTATTTTTAGTGTATGTTAGTGTTTTTTTATTATTGTACTTTAAGTTCTAGGACACATGTGCAGAACATGCAGGTTTGTTACATAGGTCATGGCAGTTTGCTGCACCCATCAACTACATTAGGTATTTCTCCTAATGCTATCCCTCCCCTAGCCTCCCACTCCCTGATAGGTTCCCGTGTGTGATGTTCCCCTACCTATGTCCATGTGTTCTCATTGTCCTACTCCCTCTTATAAGTGAGAACATGCAGTGTTTGTTTTTCTGTTCCTGTGTTAGTTTGCTGAGAATGATAGTTTCCAGCTTTATCCATGTTCCTGCAAAAGACATAAGCTCTTCCTTTGTTGTGGCTGTACAGTGTATATGTGCCACATTTTCACTATCCAGTCTATCTTTGATGGGCATTTGGGTTGGTTCCAGGTCTTTCCTACTGTAAACAGTGTTGCAATGAACATACGTGTGCATGTGTCTTTATAATAGATTGATTTATAATCCTTTGAATATATTCCCAGTAATGGGATTGCTGGGTCAAATGGTATTTCTATTTCTAGATCCTTGAGGAATCCCACGCTGTATTCCACAATGGTTGAACTAATTTACATTCCCACCAACAGTGTAAAAGTGTTCCTATTTCTCCACATCCTCCCAGCATCTGTTATTTCCTGACTTTTGATTTATCACCATTCTAACGGGCATCAGATGGTATCTCATTGTGGTTTTGATTTGCATTTCTCCAATGACCAGTGATGTTGAGCTTTTTCCATGTTTGTTTGGCCACATAAATGCCTTCTTTTGAGAAGTATCTGATCATATCCTTTGCCCACTTTTTGATTTTTTTTTTTATCCTTCTAAATTTGTTTAAGTTCCTTGTATATTCTGGACATCAGCCCTTTGTCAGATGGATAGATGGCAAAATTTTTCTCCCATTCTGTAGGTTGCTTGTCCACTCTGATGATAGTTTATTTTGCTTTGTAGAAGCTCTTTAGTTTAGTTAGATCCCATTTGTGAAGTTTGGCTTTTGTTGCCATTGCTTTTTGTGTTTTAGTCATGAAGTCTTTACCCATGCCTATGTCCTGAATGGTATTGCCTAGGGTTTATTCTAGGGTTTTTATGGTTTTATGTTTAAGTTTTTAATGCTTCATGAGATAATTTTTGTATAAGGCATAAGGAAGGGGTCCATTTTCAGTTATCTGCATATGACCAGCCAGTTTTCCCAACACCATTTATTGAATAAGTAATTCTTTCTCCATTGCTTGTTTTTGTCAGGTTTGTCAAAGATCAGATGGTTGTAGATGTGTGGCATTATTTCTAACTGTAGTTCTGTTTCATTGGTCTATATATCTGTTTTGGTACCAGTACTATGCTGTTTTGGTTACTGTAACCTTGCAGTATAGTTTGAGTTTGAAATTACGTAGCGTGGTGCCTCCAGCTTTCTTCTTTTTGCTGAGTATTGTCTTGACTAAATGGGCTGTTTGTTAGTTCCATATGAAATTTAATGTAGTTTTTTTCTAATTCTTCAAAGAAAGTCAATGGTAGCTTTATGGGGATAGTATTGAATCTATAAATTACTTTGGACAGTATGGCCATTTTCATGATATTGATTCTTCCTATTCATGAGCATGGAATGTTTTCCCATTTGTTTTTGTCCTCTCTGATTTCTTTGAGCAGTGGTTTGTAGTTACTAAAGAGGTCCTTCACACCTCTTGTAAGTTGTATTCCTAGGCATTTTATTTTCTTTGTAGCAATTGTGAATGGGAGTTCACTCATGATTTTGCTGTTTGTCTATTATTGGTGTATAGGAATTTATGTTATATGTATATATACATATAAATTATGTATAATAAACATACAATTCTTTTACATATTGCTCTCAATGTTTTGGATAAACTGAACATTCTGCTTAAAAAGAGGTATCATAAAGAAACATATTGTTTTAACTTTTAATATAAAGGTATAATTGCCAAATTTTGAATAAGAGATCTAGGTTTTGTGATGCATAGGAATGTGCTAATCTAAGTTCTGCCTAACCCATACCTACAATATGACACCTTTTGAAACCTAGTTTGATTTACTGTAAAGTGAGACCAGAATTTAAGCATTAACAAAACAATATGAATGCAGATTACTTAAAGATTTTTTCCCAGTGTTTTATAGGTAACTTGCTCACATGTAATTCAGAATTACATGTGTTTTTGGCAACTTTACTTAAGTCTTCCCAAATTGTTAAACCATTTTAAAGAAATAAAAACTCTTTATCATTTATACTTTTTTCTTTTACAAAATAATTAATTGAAGTTTTGTCATGGACTGGTTTGAATTTAACTGAATTTCTGTTAAAAGTGTAAATAAATGGATAGAAGTATAGGAGGAGTTAGATACTAAAGAGACCCTGTTGCAAAGGAGAAGTGTCTTATTAGATACCTTTATTCTCATTTGTGTAAACAGATTGTGGTTTTGATGCATATATATGTGTGTGTATATATAGAATATTTTTGAAGTCTATGTACACTTAGATATGTTTTAATATAACATGTTCCTATTATGTATGAGGAATCTTCAAAAAAATCAGGAAAAAATGAATAATTGTGAAATGATATGCATGCATTTCAATTTTGTTTTGCACCAAAATGAATGCATACTAACTTATTAGAACATGTCTGTACCAGATCTAGTTTGAAGCATTGAGAAGTATAAAACATAAGTTTTAAAGGAGCCCCTATCAGAGTAACATGAGTTATGCTAAAATTGAAGCAAGTATAAACATCAACTGAATCATGCACCTAGAGTAGAAGAATGGTGAAATCACTAATGCTTTATGAGAAGTATATGTGAACCATGCCCTGCAAAATGGGAGATCACAAATAGAGAACTTATTTTAAGAAGGGAGGAGATGATGCTGAAGATGAAGCCCAGAGTGGCAGTTCATCCATATAAATTTGCATGGAAAAAAATTCACTTTGTTCATACCTTAATTGAAGAGGAACAGTGACTAACAACAGAAACAACAGTCAACACTATAGACATCTTAACTGGAGCTTACACAATTCTGACCGAAAAATTAAAGTTGAGCAAACTTTCCACTAAATGGTGCCAAAACCGCCAAGCCCAGATCAGCTGCAGACAAGAGTAGAGCCTTCAACGGAAATTTTAAACAAGTGGGATCAATACCCTCAAGTAATTTCTTAAAAGAATTGTTACAGAAGATGAAATGTGGCTTTACCAGTATAGTCCTGAAGACAAAACAAAAACCAACCTAACGGCTCCCAAGAAGTGGAAGTGGTCTTGACTAAACAAAAGTGGACTTGTCAGGAGGAAGCTCAGGGCAGCAGATCTGGGAATGCTCAAGGCATTTCCTTTGTTGCCTTTCTGGAAGACCAAAGAACAGCAACAATTGTTTATTATGAGAGTGTTTTCAGAAAGTGAGCCAAAACGTTTAACAGAAAAACACCCAGAAAAGCTTCACCAGGAAATCCTTCACCATAAGGACAACTCATTCCTCTTATCATGAAAGGAAGTTTTCCAAGTTTCGGTGGGAAGTCGAGCTTATGGTCCTGATTTGGCTTCTTCTGACTTCATTGTGTTTTCTAATCTTAAAAAATCTTTAAAGGACACTCATTTTTCTTCATTTAATAATGTAAAATGATTACATTGACATAAATTCCCAAAAGTCTCTGTTCTTTAAGGATGAACTAAATGACTGATATCATCAACTTCCAAAATGTCTTAAGCTTGACGAAGCTTATGTTTAAAAAAATTCTCTATTTAAAAAATTTTTTATCTCTTAGTTTCATTTTTGCATGAACTTTTTGCAGTCTCTTCATATATGTGCATTAGTTTAAATAGAAATATGTATTTAAAATGTAAAATATGTACTTAACTCATACACATAATATATTATGGATATTAATATAGATTGAAAGCCAGCACACTAGCTTAAGAAGAAATTTCAGAATCCTCATGTAATGAATGTTAGTTAAAGCCACAGAATTAAATAAGCTAGTAAGGGAAGAATATAAAGAGAGTGAAATTGAACAAAAGGAGAAACAGAAATAAAACCCACCAAAACTTAAAAAAAATTAAAGTAGCTATAATACAGCTCCACAGATTAACTCATAGCTATTGATAAAGAATAGCGAATAGTATTTCTTACAGAAAATGTAACATCACAATTTAAAATT